TGGCGGCGAGAACCGGTTACCCCTGCGGTGTGGTTTTCTGCAGCCTCTGTGACAAAAGTTCTTCAAAGGATGCCCAGGAGGTTGGAGGGAAGCCCCGCCACAACTCTCTCTGATGGGAGCTGCACCAGGCTCTCGGGTCAGCAGCAGCTCTGCACTCCTCCAGTCCCCGGGTCCCCCTTGCTTGACCCAGCCATTTTCTCTTAAACTTTCTAAAATGGGCCCAGAGGACTTGCCACAGGGCAGCAGTCGCTAAGCTGCAGCTCCACTCAAATCACAGAATCACAGAATGTTCCGGGTTGGAAGGGACCTCTGTGGGTCATCTAGTCCAACCCCCCTGCCGAAGCAGGGTCTCCTACAGCAGGCTGCACAGAACCTTGTCCAGGCGGGTCTTGAATATCTCCAGAGAAGTAGAATCCACAACCTCCCTGGGCAGCCTGTTCCAGTGCTCCGTCACCCTCAGAGGGAAGAAGTTCTTCCTCATGTTCAAATGGAACTTCCTGTGCCTCAGTTTGTGCCCATTGCCCCTTGTCCTGTCACTGGGCACCACTGAAAAGAGCTTGGCCCCATCCTCCTGACACCCACCCTTGAGATATTTATAAGCATTTCTAAGGTCCCCTCTCAGCCTTCTCTTCTTCAGGCTAAACAAGGCCAGCTCCCTCAGCCTTTCGTCATAGATGGAGAGATGCTCCAGTCCTCTCATCATCCTCGTAGCCCTCCGCTGGACTCTCTCCAGTAGCTCCTCATCTTTCCTGAACTGGGGAGCCCAGAACTGGACACAAATCCAGACCTTCTCTCATTCGGCGAAATGCCGCATTACCTGGGGTGGAAGAAAACCCCCCCCCCTCAGGGGCGCAGCCACCCCAGGGGAGGGGGGAGAAGCTCAGCACCCAGGGGTGCAGGATGGATCCCGACTTCTGCTTTGGTTTCTAACCCAGGCAGGGTGACATCGAGCAGGGGAGTGACAGTGGCCTCGGGAAAGCCCTGGCAATTGCTGCAGCACTCTGCAAATATCCCTCGCGCGCACCTGCAGGTCAAACCCCAAAGCCAAAACTGCGGCTACCAGGTACCATCCAACTCCAGCGCAAAGCGTTCCACAACAGAGAAAACCGAGGCTCCTGGAGGTTAAATGAAAGGAGAAAGGGATGAGAAGTTTTGAGGAGCAAAGAGTATTGAGCAGGTCCAAATATTTCACAAGCAGCCATGCCGAAAGGCAGCCCCACAGCAGCTCAGACACAGCACGTCGGTCCAAACCCCAGCTGCCCCCGAGCAGAGGACACTTTACAGTTCGTTAAGCGATTCAGCGCGCTCAAATGCCTGCCACCCATCTGCCCGCACGCCTGCTTCAGCGAGAAACAGAGCAGGTACCCCTCAGCAAGCGGGAACTGCCCCAGGCATTGCTTGGTGCCGCAGAGGAGCATCGGCTCAGGAAGATCCCAGTCCCAGTCCTGGTGAGGAACGCTGGCTGCTCGCAGCCCAGTGGGCACTTTGCAGGCCGGCCCCGCACTAACAAGCTCACAAAAGCAAATGCACACCAGCGGACAGAAGTGAATGGAAACAACAGTGTGACAATTACATGCTCATCAGTTTGACAGTTTTGAGACAAATTGCTTGGTTCATGCCATAAAAATGGAGGATCGCACTGACTGTATCTAACTGACTATACCAACTCCTGACTAGACATGTCCCTACCATTTTTTGCTTTAATCAGTCCAGTTCTGCATTAATTCAGTCTGAAATATGCCTGCTTTCTCCATTGAAAAAAATGGACATGTTCCCTCTAGGAACATCCTTGACTTTCCTTCCTCAGTCTCCAGGCACACAGTTCTGAGATGGGAGAGGACGGGGTACAAGCAACCTGCTGGAAAACAGATGGTGCCAATAGGCAGAAATTTCAGTTCAATTAATCAAAACGGGAATTTCAGTTTAATTAATGTAATTAACGTGCATCTGTTTTGCCTGTACACACACAAATGCAATCACATAGGTAATGCATGGATGAGCACACAGTGTACACGCACCTAACAAACCAGAGGAGCCCCTGCACATCGGTACGCTGCTCCCCAAAGCGGCAAACAGAAGATAACAGCAACGTCATTTTTTGCCCCGTACTGGTACCCCTGAGTGCTCTTTTGGAGAGCATCCTCCCTGCAATCACTCCAGGTAGGTCTGTGTTCATGATAAACCTGTCCATCACACCCCACCTGGCAGCTCAGCGGGCAGCGCTGAAGCCCCTTCCAGAGCTCCCTGCTCTCCCCAGCAAGCACAGCAAGCCCCGCTGAGCCTGGGCAACCTGACGCTGCTGCAAAAGATGAACGAGCATTCTCCTCTGCTACCCACGAAAACCAGGCTGCCGCAGAGATCACAGCAACCCCATGGGCCAGTGTGCAGTTCCCAGCCAGAGTCTCTCACCAGCATCATGCCAGCAATTTCCAGTCATTTCCAGCTTCTTCTGCAGCTTTCATGAGAAGCTGAGGAATCTCCTGAGATTCCAGCACGGATGGAAAGGTCGCAGCAGTCTCCATCACCCAAGAGTCACATATTTCCCCAGACAACCCTGTTCCAAGGCATGCTCAGGTGATGGTTAAGGCCACACATTCATACCTCCTCTTTTAAGTGCCATTTAAACAGACCACCTCATTTAAGTCCTGCCTTTCAAGGTATTCTTCCACGAGCCAACAGAATCAATGGCTGCTTCCAAATTTACAACAGCCCAAAGACTTGTGGTTAGCTCAGCAGCCCCCGGGGGCTCCAGGGCTGCCGGATACCAGAAGCTGCTATCAACAACTCATCCATCATCACCCTCTCAGATGGGAGCAGAGATGATGAACACAAGCAGAAGTGAACAGAGGCCGATTCAAGCCGAGGGGATGCGACGCGCCCTGTACTAACAGGTTAGGAAGTGGCAGTCATAAATTTACAGCATCTTGACTGCTCTGCTGTAAGCACCTATCTATACGCATGCTCTTAGCCTCACAGTTCAAGGCAATGTAAATACAAGAAAGCTCATCCCACAAGAACAAGGCTCCTTGTATCCGCAGAATTGCTTTCACACACTCCTAACCCCTGGTTGCAGCCCATGAGCGCTCGAGACTTTCTGCTCCTCCGCGGTCACGCAGAGCGTGGATCTGCAAGCGCACAGGGTGATGGAGGCGGATGCAACACCGCAGGAGGCTGCGCGAAGCCTGACCGTCTCTGGGAAACAGCACGGCTTTCCTGCTCAGACTGCTCCTCTCCCTCGGCCGAGGGGGCCCTCACAGCATCGGCACTGCCGGGCACCCAGGGGGACAAAGAACAAACGGGTATGATGACACCGCCGAGGGATGTTATTCCCCAAAGGGAGGAATATTATATATGAGAAGGTATAGATACACAAGCAGATATAATAACATAGATATTTTGTGTATATATATTATATGTATTATAGACATCTCTACACTTTCTGTATATATAATACATATACACACATTATAATTTGTATAATTATATATAGAATGATATTGTATATACTTACAGACTTCTACTATATATACTTTCTGACAAAATTATTAACTGTTGCCTACAAAGATGACAACAGCTGGCCCAGTTTGCTCCTTACTGTTAAGTAAATGCAAAGGGAGCAGTAAATACCCGCTAATCGGCTGATCGCGTTTCTACCGCAACGTAAGTAGAGTCTGCAGAAACCACTCCAATATCTTAGCCCCGATACTTAAACAGCAGCACAGCTACAGAATTTGACTTGCGTACACGCTCCTGGGCAACATGCATAGCGAACGACAGCTCATGGAAAGAGCTAAGGAAAACAGGCTAAAAGTAACTTGATAAGCGTACCTGACCTGGCTGCGGCAGAGGGAAGGGAAATCAGGTGGTGAAATGACTATGCAGAGAAAGCAGATATGAAGAGTTTATAATATTACTTTAAAATTTTTCAAGTTGAAAACCTCTAGATATCTTTCGCAATCCCATTATCTCACCTGATGACCTCAGTTAAAGAGAAATATTTAGTTTCAAACAGTAAATTTTGGGGAAAAAAAAAATACAGAATTCGAATAAGAACTCCACGAAGTTTTAGCATGCAGCACTTAATGGGGACGGCAGCTTTGAAACATGTAGCTCTTGGCACAAAACACCTTGAAATGTATTTTAAAATAGCTGCTGCAGGCTAAAGGTCAGGAAGTATTACAGCACTTCCCTGTAAACACCCGTCTTCCTTCGTGGTTCCTCTGTCCCACTTAGGAATATTTTCTTTTTTGCAACTCTCCTGTTTGCAAGATAAGCATCAGGCTGCCGGTCCCACAGGCTGTCACACAATTAGTGGTCACAGCGACCACCAGACAAACATTTCCACTGGCAGCAGTTTGCAAAAAGTTGTCTTTGGATGCCAAGAAGAAAAAAAAAAAACAAAACAAAAACAAACAAAAAAGCACAAGCTATCGGGTACCCATAGCTTCGTAGCCAGCGTTCCTGGATCCAGTCTCACCACTGCGGATTAGCTGGCTGGAAGAGGAGCTCTTACAGCTGTTTACAAGATGTCTCACAAGCAGGATCTATTGCTTTACCCTTTCCCTCCTGCGCACCATCCGCCTTGCTGGAAAAGAACCCACGAAAGCCATTACGCTGTCAGGTAGCATGGTGTTAGCAGCGTTAGGAGGTTTTCCTTGGAGCGCTGCAGCTGTGCTTACAAGTAAGTGAAATCCACTAAGACAGACCTGGAAAGCCAGAGGCTGGGCTACCTCCTGAGACCCAGCCAAACCGTGGGGCTCGGGAGCTCCCCTCACCCCATCCCTGTCTCCATCCCTACGCCCACCTCCATCCCCATCACCATCCTCCACCCCGAGGGGCTGCAGCCACCCCGGGCAGGGCTGGCAGGAGGAGGGACGGGAGCAGCAGAGGAGCATGCAGCCAGCACTGCATCCTCAGCTCAGCATCTCCAGCTACAGCTGGCGGGTCAAGTGTGTGCTCAGCCCCACAGCTTGCCTCTCCCAACACGGGACCGGGACGGCTGTACAAGAGGAAAAGGAGTCAGTAGGGAACAGGAGAGCATCACCCCTGGCCATGCCCATCAAGAGGTTCAAGATCATCCACTGCTGTGGGGTTTCCCAGAGCCCAAAGCTGGTTCCTGGCACAGCAGCTGTGCCTTCAAGTAGGCAGGGTCTTTCCCTGCACCTGTAAGCATCCGTATGTCTCTCTTCAACACTTAGGACAGACGCAGGCCCTAAGCAGACAACAGCTATCTATAGAAAGCTGTGAGAGACATTATCAGATCTTTCACACACCTTGTTCTCTAGACATCATACAAGATAAGATGTACATTTCATAAGAGATACATATCTCTCTCCCTAAACTCATGAGCAGTTCTTAGGGAGCAGGAAAAGATACTTGCAATTTCTCACAAACCAAGGAGGCCCAATTAAATTTTGGGCGAGGAGCCTCAGCACCAACATAAGGATGCGTTTTCACCCCAAAGCACGCAGTTAAGCTGTGTAACTCATTGCCGTGGCACGGATGCCAGAAGCATGGGTTGGCTCCCAAAATGACACAATAGATTCGGAGAGGAGAATCATCTTTGTTGCAGACAAAGAGCCTGTGCCATGCCAGGCCACGCAGCAAGGGACACGTAGCAGGACACCAGCTGGGGGCTTGGGGCTTTTTCAGGGAGGAAGCTTTCGAGCAAAGCTCCTGCCAACACAGAGCCCATGCAGGGACCCTGCACCCACCAAAAACAAGAAGGTAATTGAAGGGACAGAAGGACTGAAGGAACAGTGCTGCTCTGTTGAGGATGTGGGGGGGGCAGCAGGGTCGGAGACTGATTTCCTCCAGTGTCAAAGAGCTGAGAAGTCACTTTACACCCAAACTGCGCTCGGCGTGGGAGCCCCCGCCACCCTCACCCACCCCGTCTGGCACAGGACAGCGTCAGGAACAGGGGAGGGGGGGGAACAGCTCCCTTCCTGCATTACAAAGAGCATGCAAGACAGACGAGGTCTGCCCACCTACCTCCTTGGAGCACCAGGCGCACTTGGGATGGATGAGGAGACACTCTTCGCAGGACGTGGCGCTTCCACTTGTGCACAGATTGAGACCTTCAGCAAAAGAGAGCGACAGAGAGCGAGGTGGGCTGAACGGTTACTTCACTCCAAAGCAGTTCTCAGGGGTCTTCTGAAATATTCTTCATGCTAAACATACCGTAACTTCAAACAGTTTCAAGAGCAAAGAATCTACTGGGAGCTTAAAAGGCTGGAGAAGGAATAAACCTCTCTTTGCCTGTAAAGAGCTCTCGCTTTCTTTTCCTTCCCCAAGAAAAACGAAAAGGACAGAAACTTGTTTTGGGAGCTGAGAACCACCAAAATATGACTCTGGTGATTTTCCTTCCCTCTTTTTCAGTGGTTTCTGGTTAATCAAAGAGTTCATCTATTCCTCTTCCTAAGGAAATACTTGCATCACTGCGAGCAGAAGGCAACAGCTATTTGACCAGTCTGAAATACAGAGATGGCTGTCCGAAACCTGCCAAGATGCCAACTTTTAAAGTCACACTAGGCACATCTGCTCAGTTTTTCCACCTGAATATATAGGGCGGCCCTCCTCAAAATTTTCATCTTAAAGTAGCCTTGGAAGATACTCATCTGCCCCTTCCACATAGGTCATTCCCATAGTGGACTTGTGTTACAGTAAATGATTATTAATTTATTACAGGGGTCATTTCCACAGGATACCCAGGTTAAGCCGGGCAGCACACTCGCACTGGGGCACATCCAAGGCTGGCCAGGGTGGAAGCCACCGCGCCACGACCGAGGGCTGTCCCTGCCCACGGCTGCGGCAGCAGCAATCAGGGCAGCAGCGATGCTCTTTGCTCCTGGATTGCCAGTGTCCAGCCGCACAAGGGGTACCGAGCAAGTTTCACTTCCAAAATACATGATCTGGGCTTTGAAAATGAAGTGAAACCGCACAAGTTAAGCCGAAGCACACATCAATGGCATTGGCTTTGAATGCAGCAGCTTGTTTCAGCACGCCTGTGGCTACGAATGTGCCCTTCGATACCGCCGATGCCCCAGCACCCCCGGGTGCAGCTAATAACTTCCACTGCCAATAACTCATTAAACAAATCTTCAACCGAGGATTCAGCACAGAGGCCTGCACACTCCACATGAAATGCCTCAGGCTTGAACTCCGAGTCTGCTATTTTTTCCTACCCCAATGTCAATAAAAGCATTGTCAGGCCTTTATTTTCAGCCAGTTGCATCCGCAGATACCACTGCACCACGCCACTGCTGGGTACAATCCGCAGACTGCGCGGACTTGCCGACGGCTGCTGAAGAGCCTGATGGAGTTTCCTCCTGTGGCAAGAACTTTCTGCCCCACAAGCCTCAGAAGAGGGATTTTTGCTGTATCCCATGTGAATATTGCACCAAAAAACGAATAGCGGTGGCTGCCCGGGTCGCTGCCGCACAGGGCCGGGCTGTGAGCGCAGGAAGCAGTCAATCAAGCCGGACAGCTGGAGGAAAACTTCGTGTGCCCTAGGCTAACAGCAAAAAGAGGATAAGTAGGTCCTGTCAGTAATTCTCAGTCATCGCCGAGGCATGACCGTGTCAGAGCCCTGCGCTGACGGGTCTCTGCTGCCCGCAAGGTGGTTAACTCTAACCCGGCAGCGCGAAGCCCTGGACTTTCTCTATGGCTCTCATTCAGACAGGCTGCTTGGGCTCATTCATACCGAACAAGAGCCTTCTTAGGGTTGGATTTTTTTTTTTTTTGCTGGCTGTTACCACATACCCAGGCGTTTCATTCCTTGTTCACATTCAGAAGTTATATTGCAGCTCCTGGACATTGCAAGAGCTCAAAATATAAATCGGGAACATAAAGTAAAATGTAACTTGTTCGACTGAGTTATAACTTGCACAGAGATTAACACGCACCTTCGAAACCCTGCAACACAGCCCAGAGCCTCTCCTCTCTGGTAGCAGTACGGGGGGTAACACAGCAAAAATAAGGGGCCTTATGAAGCAAACGCTTGCGCTCGTACCCTGGCTTCCCCGCCCTGGCTCTCCAGCGGCTTCACTTGCCCATCTGCACGGAAATAGGACAATAATTACCTCCATTCCTGACTGACGGATTTTTGAGACTTTACTTGGTAACGGTAATACCTGAATGAAAACCAAGGTCTGCTCCTTCCACTGGGTGCCATGACCAAAGCAGCCCACGCTCCTATGGCCAGCCGCGGGGTGACATTCCTCCTGGTGGCAGCTTTTGAAGTTTCCAAGTATGTTTTTTTTCCACTTTGGAGCAACACCAAACCATTTCCAGCATTGTTGTGAAAACAAAGTTTTGTGCAGCCCTCTGATTTTGGACTGAAACCTGAGCTTTTTGAGTCAGAGTAAAACCATGCAGGATTTTCCAGACACAAGTCTTTGCTGTGGTTGATTTAGCGCTGTTTTTCAAGAAGTGGGCAAAGGAAGGACCTGAAGATGCTCGTACTCGTCCAGATCCTTCCAGATGCTGGGACAAGGCACCCGGTAAGACTGGAAGAGCCTCAGTCTGCTCCTCGATTCTGATACGTTTAATGAAACCACTCCCGTACTTCAACAAAACTTCTTCTAATGGGGAAAATCCCATCCAGGATTTAGTTGGGGTTACTCTGGAGGAGAATAATCCACCCGCCCCCGACTGCTGAGCTCCACACCCCACATACACCCTTCACACTGATGCCACTGAGTCCTAAATCCTGCACCCTGTTTCATTTTGCAGACCAGCACCCAGCAGGCACGAGGAGCATCTCCAAACAACATCCTTCCCTCGGGATGGGCCGCAGGAGAGCCCCAAAAAGCAGAGGAAGACAGTGCATCCCACTGTACAGCTGAGATCTTAATGCATCAAACTGCTGATGCAGAGCAAGATAGGGAACTCTCATGAAAGGTACTCCACAAATTTACTCATAAAGATGCTCCAGGCAATCAGACCTCATTTTAAACTTGTTCTGCAAGAAATGCTAGTAAGATCATTTTATTTATGTTCCCAATATGCATTCTGACAGCCTCGTCCCCGAGATGGTCTGCTGCGCTACTGAATCACCAATTTTAAGCATCAGAACTACGAAATTAATAAATAAAAACAGCTAAGAAAACCTCTTTGGAGTTTCTGCAGTCAACGTGCCACAGCACTCTGGAAGATGAGCCTCTCGTTAAGATCACTCATTAAAACATTACGCACTGAGGATCAGTACCGGAATGGTGGACTCGGGCACTTTCTGGTCTACCTTCCTCTAAAAAAGTTTTCCCAAGTGCTCGGAGAGGAGAGCAACCCCTCTCCCAGCACTGCCCGAGCGGAGTCGCAAGCCGCGCTGGGGTCTCCGAGCGTGTCCAGGAGCTGCGAGAGCATCCCCACCGGGGAGGAGGACGGCTCCCTGAGCCCAGCGTGTATGTGGGGGAGCGATGGAAGGTGCGACTGGGGGAGCGGTGGAAGGTGCTGCTGGGGGAGCGGTGGAAGGTGCGGGCGCGGAGATGGGTCACTGGCCGAGCGAACGCTTGCGGCT